AGTGTCGGACGGTTAGCGGTAGTTCAGCATTAGCATATAGCATTAGCATATTATAGTCTTTAGCATAGCTTTTAGTGTTATAAATACTTATTTAGTGTTAGCTTGGCTGTTAGATATTGTAGTTTAGTTAGTGTTTGGCTTTTAGTGTTACTAGGAAAGTAGTTCGGGTTTAGTGTTCCATATCGTGTTAGTACTTATTTAGTGTCAGCTTGGCTGTTAGATATTGTAGTTTAGTTAGTGTTTAGCTGTTAGTTTTATTAGGAAAATAATTCGGGTTTAGTGTTCCATATAGTGTTAGTATGGTTAAAAGGTGTAGTGTAGTTGGTTGTGGTAGCTCTGTGGGGTTGCACTCCTTTCCACTGGACTTAGAAATTAGGCGCCAGTGGTTGCGCGCAATCGTGTACAGGATAACAGTCAGCTCCCGCCTGGTGCTGTAGTCTGCAACCAGCATTTTACCCGCGATTCCTTCGCCAACATGATGGAGTTTGAACTGGGTTATTCTGCACGTCTCCGTTTGAAGAGTGAGGCCGTGCCCACCGTGGCTCTTCCACGAATTAGATGCAGCCCACCGACTCTGCTCCCCCACCATGGCGGGCTCCAGTCTGAGGTGAGTAAGCTAAATAAACGTTTTAACATCTTCTAAAGACAATTCCCTACCTAAATGCAAAGTTTGAGAGACGTGGTTCACTTCCTTTAGCTAATATCAGCCTGCACTGCCTTCGGGCTAAATTGTCAAGTTCACAAAATGTGGAACGGGATGTAAGGTTAGAATCAGCGGAGAATCGGAACATTTCTCGAAGCCCTGGCCGACAAAAAGGTCCACATGACTATTTCTGTCAGGCTCGGAGAAAATCCGGGTTGTTTTTGTGTCAGTCGGTAATTCAGCAACAGTGGCTCTAACGCAGCACTAGTTGACAGACATCATTACAGCGTGAAATCCAGCTTTACACCAAAGCCTAACCCGGTTCTGTGAGGAATTCTGTTCAGGAGGTCGCATTTCAGGTTCTTCACATCATATGTGACTGACTTTTACGTTATAATAACGATCACACACTAGGAATGTCATAAAGCGCCTATATATATATATATATATATATATATATATATATATATATATATATATATATATATGTATATATATTTCGGACAGTTTCTTTTGTATATTATCTGACTTTATAAACAACAACAACAATGTGCTTCTATTTTTTTTCAGGCTAAATCTACCCAAGACGTTGGCTGTCAGACTGATTTAGTAATCTGCAAAAATGCACTTGTCCAGGCTCATGTAAAGCCTTATCGACGTAGCAAAGGTGAATTATTTTTAATAATCTTCTACGTAAACATTTTATTATTACCTTCTAGTTTTTATTTGTTTTGCAGATTATTGTTACACGTGATTTTATGCTCTTTTAAACATTTATAAATGTGTTGCTTCTTTGTATTTTACATAGCCACCCAGTTTAAAGCTCACAGCCGCAGTGTGTCTTGTGACACAGGGACCGTGACGGAAATTCATCTTCCACAAAGTCCCAGAGCTGCGTCCACACCCCTGAAAAGACCACGATATGAGGTGTCTGTTGTTGATCCCAGCTTCCACCTCAATGACAGTGGAAGCTCAGTGAACTGTTCAAGGTAAAAAAAAATTATAACATTTTAGAATTTTTTAGTTATGACCATATATATAAATGTATGTGTTCTATACAGCTCTTTCACTGAGGTCCATCCACAAAAGGACAAGAAGCACATTGTTCATGAGAAACAGTTGCTGGGGCTGTTCAGAAGGTGTCCCGTTTGTACCGGTCGTTTTGTTGTGAACACGACAACAGTCGGCACACTGCTCCGTGTGACACAACGGTGTTCATGCTGTGAGCACTACAATGAGTGGTCCAGTCAGCCCATGGTGAACAGCATCCCAGCAGGAAACCTCCAGCTCTGTGCTGCTGTCCTTTTCACAGGCTCATCATTTAGCCAGATTTCTAAGGTATAGGCCAAAACTGTTTAGGTTGGTTTTGATAAGGTCTGTGCGTCTCTCATTTCATGACGTAACTTTTCATATTTTAGTTCCTGGGTGCCTTCAATGTGCAGGGACTGTCCAAGCAGACATTCTTTCGACATCAGGCAAAGCTGTTAATTCCAACAGTGAGCTGGCAGTGGCAGCTAGAGCAAGCTGATATCATCCAGGAGGCTACTGAATCTGGACCTGTGACTCTTGGTGGTGACATGCGAGCTGATTCACCTGGTGAATACTTTTAAATTTATTTATTTTATTCCTTTGCTATCAAATGTAAATTAAGTAATAACTTGCATTTCTTGAAGGAAACTCAGCCAAATATGGCAGCTGCACCATGAAGGATCTCAAAAGAAACAAAGTTACTGATATCCAACTTGTACAGGTACAACATTACCTGATGATTCCAATGCATTTCATGGTTAATTATTCACAGATCAATGGAGAATTATGTTTATTTTCAGAGCAATGAACTTGGAAATAGTGTGCGAATGGAGAAGGAGGGATTTGTGAGAAGTCTGAGCACACTTTTGGAGAGGGGGGTCGATGTGCAGCAAGTCGTGACTGACCGCCACACAGGAGTGCAGAAGTATTTGCGGGAGGAAAAAAAGGAAATCAGTCACTACTTTGACCCCTGGCACATGGGAAAAGGTAATCTTTGTGGATGTATATAGTGAATATTACAGGATTTTTTTTCTATTTTAAATGTGGGTCTGTTTGGCTCTCCAGGAATTGGTAAGAAAATCGAAGAGCTGGGGAAGAGAAAGACGACCCAGGATGTGAGACTGTGGAAGCAAAGTGTGGTGAACCACCTCTACTGGTCAGCATCCAGTTCCTCCTCAGGACAGGAGGCAGTAGCAAAGTGGACTTCAGTTGCCAACCACATCCAAAATGTGCACAGCCATGACAACGCCCTGTTCCCTAGCTGTCTGCATGCACCTCTGGATGGAGAACAGGCAAGACAGTGGCTCAAACCAAGTAAGTGTAGCATGTACTCATTACAGCTGAGCCTTTACTGTTTGGTTTCTTTACATTTAAAACACGTCACCCCACAACAGAATATTTGTCTTCACCTCCTTCAACATGGAGAAATATTTTTGGAGCATGAGAGTTACAGACGTCACATGTGGCTGCTAAGGTCACACACCACCATTTGGCCAACAGCAATTAATTACTAAGAATAAAATGCTGTGCAGAAATTTAAACAGAAGAGTGCGCCACACAACTCATGGTTTTAGGCAGAACAGCCATAATTGACATAATATGTACTAAAATGCCGTAAGTAATTACCACACCTGTCTACAGCACTATTAGTCACTCTTTCATACATTTGTCATCTAAAAATGTCAGCTATGGGTAACTTTTTCTCAATGAAATAATAGCAACATTCTAAAGTTGATCAAATTGTAATTTTTGTAATTAACATTTTCTACTTAGGCACAGCATCATGTGAGAAGCTCACTGCCATTCTGTTAGCTCCACGGTTTGTGAAGGACGTAGAGAAGATAAGCCCTCAGTACCACACATCCACCTTGGAGGCTTTCCACAGTCTCATCATCAGATTTACTCCAAAAAGTCAGGTCTTCTCCTTCAAAGGAATGCTGTCTAGGTAATGAATACAACAAATGTTCAAATTAATGCCTCTAATTGTTCAAATTTTAGAATGAAATGTAGAATTTTGCCTAAAATCTACATGGTTTGTTTATTTGATTATTTCAGATTACAAATTGCTGCAATGCACTATAATGAAAATGCAGCACGCTCACATGCAGCAACAGCAACTGGTGAGCTGAGATATGCTGTAGTGTACCCAAAGTACAAACATGGAGACTACACAGTGAGAGCCCTGAAGACCAATCCAACCTCATGTATGTCATATATTGTATGATAAAACCAAAATGATGTCATGGAGAGCTATTGTAATACTGAAAACCCTTTTCCAGTATATGTGCACAAGCTTATAGATCTGCTGTTCGACTCTGTGGTGGTGGATCCTCTCCCATATCAGGAGTACTCGGACAAAATTCCGGTTCCAGAACCGCTCTGTGCCCAGTTCCAAAGACCAGATAAACGGGATGCTGTGAGCAGGCACAGGTCCAGGTTTTAAAGTGCACGTAAGGTGAGCTACACAACAAGAGATTGTAATTATTAGTTAGTACTCTACTCTGTGTGGTTTTTCCTTTTCTCCTCCTCAGCCAGGCTGCACACCACTGTACGACAGAGGAGTTACCTGTCGTCATTATGGATCTTTATGCTCATCCACTCGTGACTCATGCTGTCCACCTCCCAGATGTCTATTGATCTCTACAACCTTTCTGCTCTGTGGCTCCCATACAACTTGAAAATCTTGGCCGTATGTAACATAACAAAACTCACCAGTCTTGCTTTTGTAAGTCATACTAGTCATACTAATATTACTTTTTTCCTCAGAGCCTCCTGATATTGTTACAGAAAAGCCTGTGCTCCCGGGATCCATCTCCACGTTTGTCATCACAGTGAAAGCTACCTCCAGTCTAAGGAACCAAAGAAACATCACTGATGGCCCAACCTATCCTCACATGGCTCCAGAATCTCTGCTTGTGGTTTAGAGTTTTGTCAAAAATCATGAAAGTTATGATCAGATTGTAATCTAACGTTGCCTTAGTAGTAGCTATAATAAATGTTATCTTTAAAGCGCAATTGTGTCATTTTAAATACAATTATATTGATATTTTGATTTGTATAAATACATATATCACATTTATTAAATTATCATTCATTTTTACCTAATTGAACCTGCTCTAGATTAGACTTCATTAATCACACAGGGTGTAAACTCACTTGTTACAGCAGCATTAATTAACCCCGAATTAGAACCTTACTGTTGTAAGAGCTCATTTGAAAAGTGTGTGGCTATATGTGTGTATATATAAATAATGTCAAAGTGTAAAGAAGTGCATTTACCGTTTTGTGATTTATGCAGCTTTTTATGGACAGGAATCAATACAGGAAATATATATTATAACATTTATTTAATCCAAAAAATATATATTAGTTCAGAGGAGGGAGGAATCCTTTGTATGCACCGTCTTCTGGGAACTCCTGCCTTATTCTGGAGACAGCGCATGACGGGATCACAACACGAACGTGCTGTCCCAGGTAACCCCAACACCACCTGACCACATTCCGGTACGCCAGATGTCTGTAACAGCTGAGAAAGAGGTGGTATGAGTTATAAAGTATTCATAAAAAAATTATTTTGACAGTTGTCTTACCTGTTGAGCGTAGTCTCCTGCATCTCCCCATAGAGTTGCAGAAAGCTGCCATAAACTGCCTGCAACACGTAGGGATTCAGAGCAACAGCCTCAAAACCAGGATGCTCTGTTATGCAGGAGGTTACACCCACCTGCTGACACCTGAGCATTACCTATGACAAAGAACAACTGATATCAGGGCTATAAGAGTTCAATATTAGTATGATGTTAGTGATTGTGTAACAAATGTGTACATTACAGAATGCTTTTCTCATGGTGGGGTACTTTTATTTTTATACCTTGGGCGTTTCTCTGCAGCACACATTTTCTCTGGCAGACAATGATGTGCAGTGGCCAAAGGTGCACCTGTTGAGGCAGTCATACAAAATTACTTTTAGCTAAGCTAAATATAGCTAGCTGTGGCTAAAAGCTACTTACCACTCAGAGACTGGACCCATTAGATGCCTTGATACTCCTGCTGGCTCGACTCCAGGGGCCTCTGACAACTCACGAGCTAGTGGCTCAACAAGATACCGTTCAGGACTGCTTGCTTCCCCCAATAAGCACTCCTCCCTATTCTCTGGGGAAGAAGGTGGGGAAAAGTCCTCCACCTCGAATGACTGCTCTGAGCTACTGTCGCTCTCCGTCGCCATCTGTATTCAAATTTCAGTATGTCAATCACGGTCGTAGCTCCGCCTTCTAGGTCTTACAGGAAACGCCTCTTTGGGCCGCATTTTTCAAATATGAAATGTGGGTGGAGTAAGACTCTGACAGGGGATTACCACTACTTTAAGCCCATGTTGGCTGATTCTACCCACCAATCAGAGGCTTGCTCTAATGGAAGGTGTGAATTTGCTGTCAGCAGTGGGTATGTTGGCCCTTGTCGGCCTGAAGCAGACCCCCTCGAGAAGAGGGCTGAGAATGAGCCTTGGTTGGCCCGGAAAAATACCAGGCCACCCAGATATGTAAACAACCTAGGCTACCCGTCCCGGGCCGACCCGGTACAGATGGAAATGGCCCATTAGTTTTACGTGTATAGGGCTGGTTAGTTTTACGTTTATAGGGCTGGTTAGTTTTACGTTTATAGGGCAGGTTAAGTTTGCGTGTATAGGGCTGGTTAGTTTTACGTGTATAGGGTGGGTTTGTTGGTTGGTTGGTTTTATGTGTATAGAGCTGGTTGGTTGGTCGGTTAGTTTTATGTGTATAGAGCTGGTTAGTTTGACGTGTATAGGGCTCGTTAGTTTTACGTGTATAGGGCTCGTTAGTTTTACGTGTATATGGCTGGTTAGTTTTATGTGTATAGGGCTGGTTAGTTTTACGTGCATAGGGCTGGTTAGTTTTGCGTGTATAGGGCTGGTTAGTTTTACAGGTATAGGGCTGGTTTGTTTTACGGGTATAGGGTGGGTTTGTTGGTTGGTTGGTTGGTTTTATGTGTATGGAGCTGGTTAGTTTTATGTTTATAGAGCTGGTTGGTTGGTTGATACGTTTTAGGTGTATAGAGCTGGTTAGTTTTATGTGTATAGAGCTGGTTAGATTTACGTGTATAGGGCTGGTCAGTTTTACGTGTATAGGGCTGGTCAGTTTTACGTGTATAGGCTTGTTAGTTTTACGTGTATAGTGCTGGTTAGTTTTACGTGTATAGGGCTGGTTAGTTTTACGTGTATAGGGCTGGTCAGTTTTACGTGTATAGGGCTGGTCAGTTTTACGTGTATAGGGCTGGTTAGTTTTACGTGTATAGGGCTAGTTAGTTTAACGTGTATAGGGCTGGTCAGTTTTACATGTGTAGGGCTGGTCAGTTTTACATGTGTAGGGCTGGTTACTTTTACGTGTATAGGGCTGGTTACTTTTACGTGTATAGGGCTGGTTACTTTTACGTGTATAGGGCTGGTTACTTTTATGTGGATAGGGCTGGTGAAGTTTGCGTGTATAGGACTGGTTAGTTTTACGTGTATAGGGTTGGTTTCTTGGTTGGTTAGTTTTACGTGTATAGAGCTGGTTAGTTTTACGTGTATAGAGCTGGTTGGTTGGTTGGTTAGTTTCATGTGTATAGAGCTGGTTAGTTTTACGTGTATAGGGCTCGTTAGTTTTACGTGTATAGGGCTGGTTAGTTTTGCGTGTATAGGGCTGGTTGGTTTTACGGGTAAAGGGTGGGTTTGTTGGTTGGTTGGTTTTATGTGTATGGAGCTGGTTAGTTTTATGTGTATAGAGCTGGTTTGTTGGTTGGTTAGTTTTACGAGTATAGAGCTGGTTAGTTTTATGTGTATAGAGCTGGTTAGTTTTACGTGTATAGGACTGGTTACTTTTACGTGTATAGGGCTGGTTACTTTTAGGTGTATAGGGCTGGTTACTTTTACGTGTATAGGGTTGGTTACTTTTATGTGTATAGGGCTGGTTAAGTTTGCGTGTATAGGGCTGGTTAGTTTTACGTGTATAGGGTTGGTTTCTTGGTTGGTTAGTTTTACGTGTATAGAGCTGGTTGGTTGGTTAGTTTTATGTGTATAGAGCTGGTTAGTTTTACGTGTATAGGGCTCGTTAGTTTTACGTGTATAGGGCTGGTTAGTTTTGCGTGTATAGGGCTGGTTAGTTTTACGGGTAAAGGGTGGGTTTGTTGGTTGGTTGGTTTTATGTGTATGGAGCTGGTTAGTTTTATGTGTATAGAGCTGGTTTGTTGGTTGGTTAGTTTTACGAGTATAGAGCTGGTTAGTTTTACGTGTATAGGGCTGGTCAGTTTTACGTGTATAGGCCTGGTCAGTTTTACGTGTATAGGGCTGGTCAGTTTTACATGTATAGGGCTGGTTACTTTTACGTGTATAGGGCTGGTTACTTTTACATGTATAGGGCTGGTTACTTTTACGTGTATAGGGCTGGTTACTTTTATGTGTATAGGGCTGGTTAAGTTTGCGTGTATAGGGCTGGTTGGTTTTACGTGTATAGGGTTGGTTTGTTGGTTGGTTAGTTTCTACGTGTATAGAGCTGGTTAGTTATACGTGTATAGAGCTGGTTGGTTGGTTGGTTAAGTTTTATGTGTATAGAGCTGGTTAGTTTTACGTGTATAGGGCTGGTTAGTTTTACGTGTATAGGGCTGGTTAGTTTTGCATGTATAGGGCTGGTTAGTTTTACGGGTATAGGGTGGGTTTGTTGGTTGGTTAGTTTTACGTGTATAGAGCTGGTTAGTTATACGTGTATAGAGCTGGTTGGTTGGTTGGTCAGTTTTATGTGTATAGAGCTGGTTAGTTTTACGTGTATAGGGCTGGTTAGTTTTACGTGTATAGGGCTGGTTAGTTTTGCGTGTATAGGGCTGGTTAGTTTTGCATGTATAGGGCTGGTTAGTTTTACGGGTATAGGGTGGGTTTTTTGGTTTGTTGGTTTTATGTGTATGGAGCTGGTTAGTTTTATGTGTATAGAGCATGTTAGTTTTACGTGTATAGGGCTGGTCAGTTTTACATGTATAGGGCTGGTCAGTTTTACGTTTATAGGGCTGGTTAGTTTTACGTGTATAGGGCTGGTTAGTTTTACGTGTATAGGGCTGGTTAGTTTTACGTGTATAGGGCTGGTTAGTTTTGCGTGTATAGGGCTGGTTAGTTTTGCGTGTATAGGGCTGGTTAGTTTTACGTGTATAGGGCTGGTTAGTTTTACGTGTATAGGGCTGGTTAGTTTTGCGTGTATAGGGGTGGTTAGTTTTACGTGTATAGGGCTGGTTAGTTTTACGTGTATTGGGCTGGTTAGTTTTACGTGTATTGGGCTGTTAGTTTTACGTGTATTGGGCTGTTAGTTTTACGTGTATAGGGCTGGTTAGTTTTACGTGTATAGGGCTGGTTAGTTTTACGTGTATAGGGCTGGTAATGGGCCATTCCCATCTGTACCGGGTCGGCCCGGGCCGGGTAGCCACAGTCGGCCCTGCCTGGCCCGGTTGATTCCACACATCCTTGTCTTAAGCCCATGTGGGCTGATTCTACCCACCAATCAGAGGCTTGCTCTAATGGAAGGTGTGAATTTGCTGTCAGCAGTGGGTGTGTTGGCCCTGGTCGGCCTGAAGCAGACCCCCTCGAGAAGAGGGCTGAGAATGAGGCTTGGTTGGCCCGTAAAAATACCAGGCCACCCAGATATGTAAACAACCTACGCTACCCGGCCCGGGCCGACCCGGTACAGATGGAAAAGGCCCATTAGTTCACGTGAATAGGGCTGGTTAGTTTTATGTTTATAGGGCTGGTTAGTTTTATGTGTATAGGGCTGGTTACTTTTACGCGTTTAGGACAGGTTAAGTTTGCGTGTATAGGGCTGGTTAGTTTTACGTGTATAGGGTGGGTTTGTTGGTTGGTTGGTTTTATGTGTATAGAGCTGGTTGGTTGGTCGGTTAGTTTTATGTGTATAGAGCTGGTTAGTTTGACGTGTATAGGGCTTGTTAGTTTTACGTGTATAGGGCTGGTTAGTTTTACGTGTATAGGGCTGGTTAGTTTTACGTGTATAGGGCTGGTTAGTTTTGCGTGTATATGGCTGGTTAGTTTTAGGGGTATAGGGCTGGTTAGTTTTACGTGTATAGGGCTGGTTAGTTTTACGTGTATAGGGCTGGTTAGTTTTGCGTGTATAGGGCTGGTTAGTTTTACAGGTATAGGGCTGGTTTGTTTTACGGGTATAGGGTGGGTTTGTTGGTTGGTTGGTTGGTTTTATGTGTATGGAGCTGGTTAGTTTTATGTTTATAGAGCTGGTTGGTTGGTTGATACGTTTTAGGTGTATAGAGCTGGTTAGTTTTACGTGTATAGAGCTGGTTAGATTTACGTGTATAGGGCTGGTCAGTTTTACGTGTATAGGGCTGGTCAGTTTTACGTGTATAGGGCTGGTCAGTTTTACGTGTATAGTGCTGGTTAGTTTTACGTGTATAGGGCTGGTTAGTTTTACGTGTATAGGGCTGGTCAGTTTTACGTGTACAGGGCTGGTCAGTTTTACGTGTATAGGGCTGGTTAGTTTTACGTGTATAGGGCTAGTTAGTTTAACGTGTATAGGGCTGGTCAGTTTTACATGTGTAGGGCTGGTCAGTTTTACATGTGTAGGGCTGGTTACTTTTACGTGTATAGGGCTGGTTACTTTTACGTGTATAGGGCTGGTTACTTTTACGTGTATAGGGCTGGTTACTTTTATGTGGATAGGGCTGGTGAAGTTTGCATGTATAGGGCTGGTTAGTTTTACGTGTATAGGGTTGGTTTCTTGGTCGGTTAGTTTTACGTGTATAGAGCTGGTTAGTTTTACGTGTATAGAGCTGGTTGGTTGGTTGGTTAGTTTTATGTGTATAGAGCTGGTTAGTTTTACGTGTATAGGGCTCGTTAGTTTTACGTGTATAGGGCTGGTTAGTTTTGCGTGTATAGGGCTGGTTGGTTTTACGGGTAAAGGGTGGGTTTGTTGGTTGGTTGGTTTTATGTGTATCGAGCTGGTTAGTTTTACGTGTATAGAGCTGGTTTGTTGGTTGGTTAGTTTTACGAGTATAGAGCTGGTTAGTTTTATGTGTATAGAGCTGGTTAGTTTTACGTGTATAGGACTGGTTACTTTTACTTGTATAGGGCTGGTTACTTTTAGGTGTATAGGGATGGTTACTTTTA